TCATAGGGCTTGTTCTCTAGACCCTGGAGCTGGAAGAGAGTATCCTATTCAGAAGGGAGGCTTCTCCTCTTAGGCCTCAAATCTAGCATTCCAGAGCTTGGAAAGGGGCCTCCAGGGGCCATCCAGTCCAACCCTGTTCCATCATCAAAGCCCTCTAGACCAGTGGTTCTCAACCTTTCTAATGCCATGACCCCTAAATACAGTTCCATATGTTGTGGTGACCCCCAACCATAATATTTTTTTCGTTTCTATTTGATACCTGTCCTTTTAGTACGGTTATAAATCGTAATGTAAATATCCGATATGCAGGATGGATTTTCATTCACAAAATGAAGCCTCGAGCCAGGCCTCATCGTCCCCCATTCTATCTCTTTGCATTTCGTTTTTCCTGCCTAAGTGGAGTATCTTGCATTTGTCACTGTTGAACTTCATTTTGTTAGTTTTGGCCTATCTCTCTAATCTGTCAAGATCGTTCTGAATCCATGCATGACTGCATGGAGCGCCGTTATTTTCCCGCCGGAGCAGTACCTATCGATCTACTCACATTTTGCATGTTTCTGAACTGCTAGGAGCGCAGAAGTTGGGGCTGACAGCAGAAGCTCACGCTGCTCTCCAGATTCAAATCTGCAACCTTTCAGTCAACAAGCTCAGCAGCTCAGAGCTTTAACCCATTGCACCACCGGGGGCTCACACAGGTTATGGTCCCAGAATAGTTCCATTGCACTCTACACTTCTGTAGATACTGAATAGTCTTTTATAGGTTATGGGCCCAACACTCTTCCATTGCGTCTTGCTCTGCTATAGATACCAAATGTTCCTCATACAGGTTATAGTCCCAGAAAAGTTACATTGCACTTTACTCTTCTATAGATACTAAATAGTCTTTCAATCGGTTATGGGCCCAGCACTCTTCCATTGCGTTTTACTCTGTTATAGATACCAAATATTCCTCACACAGGCAATGGTTCCAGAATAGCTCCATTGTGTCGCACCTCAGAGTAGATTCACCTTGCTGAAATCACCAAAACTTCACACAGACTGAAGTCTTTGTAGTTTATTGAAAGGTAAAAGATAAAAAGTTCTTAAAAGCAAGTAATTTCCCAAAAGATCAATAAAACATAACACTGTAAAACAGGATTCCAAGAGGCACCAACAAAACAAAAATCTCATGAGAACATGACAAAGTCCCGAGACCATGGACACAAGAACTACAAGATATCCAGACCAACAACCACAAAATGCTTGGTTGAGCGAAAAGTTGCTCTGACAAAGGTTTGTTTTCAAACATACTGCTTAATACCCTTTGCAAAACATGAAGGCGTTTCTTTGGCCTCTTGTTGTGGCTGAGATGTTCTGTGATGATGAGGATG